TTTACCTAATATTAATTTACTCTCTAAGCCAAATCTCACGCGCAGAAACTAAGAAATTTCGTATGGATCTCGATTAGATTAGTCATCATCAGTAATAACTTTTTGGCAACCATTTCTAATTTGAGCTTAAGAGAAATAAGCAAAAGTGCCAAGAAAACACATCCCAAAAGTTTACACTAGATAATGTGTGCTAAGAGAAAGCAAACATTCGCTCAGTTTAGTTAGCTTAGTTAAATTCAATGACAGGCCGAATTGCAGATGGGTATTTAAGAATTTCATTGATAAATAATAAATAAATAGCGCATATCCAATCTTTGAGTATCAATAAAAAATAATATTCAAATCAATTCAATTAAAGAGCATGTTCATCAATTGCAACGTACAAAATATTTTTAGAAAATATACAGATTTTTAAATAAGTATATTCGTCATAAAAATTTTAAAACTTTTCTTTCTTTATTATTAAAATAATTTATAACAAGGTCAAATTTCAGCAGCTAAAAATAAATAAATTTAAAATATGTAATTGTATGAAGAAAACATTTGAATAAAAAATTAATAAATAAATAAATAAAAATTGCATACATTTAAAATATAATAAAAACATTAATAAAAGTATAAAATAAATAATAAATACAAGTATAAAAATTCAACAATTGCTTAAAGTGTTTCTCTTTTGCCTTAGAACAATATATACATATATAATTTTCAAATAATAATTAATACGCCTAATTCTTGTATAGTATATTTAATTTTATTATCATACCTATTTTTATTTTTTTATTTTCTCTTCATGACTCATAAATTTAATTATAATCTTAAGTTTTTAACCGATTTGAAGCGTTGCACAAATTTTGTTTTTGTTTTTGTTTTTGTTTTCTCACACTTTGGTTGCATTGATCGCCGGCAATCAATGAAATTGATATTGTGCAATTTCAGGTGATAAGGAATTGATTGATTGATAATTTCTTCTGTCATATTCACACACCAATTTATCGGCCGCATCACTTTTACCACCAACCATTAGCGCAGCATGTGGAATGTGTAGCAACTTTTCACTTTTTGACATCATCGCAGGCATAATTCGAATCGGAGACAGTCTTGCCAGGGTAAACATAACCCAGTTAGAGTTTGTCGAGCAGTCGAGGTTCAATGACTGGCTGGACTTGGTTACATTTGAATATTCATATGCGTAGCCATGTCGTAGCCATTGCCGTAGCCATAGCCGCAGCTGTTGCCGGACTTTAAAGATTTGGGGCCGCTCTTAGATTCTACTTACCAAATATTGACACAAAGTGCTTCTAACACGAATATCACATCAGCGACGACGTCAGCAGCGACGCCAGCGTCGCCAGTGCCGCTGCTCGTGTCTTTTGGGCTTCATATAAAAGCGGCTGCGCTGCCATCAAACATGTTCAGAGTAAATGTGAAAGTGGAGGCGGYAGCAACAACAATAACAACAACAACAACAACTGGAATCGATCATCGAACCGCGTTATTCACAAAGGATTATTATGCTCGCTTTGAGCTGGTTCTACTTGCTGGGCATTTGCGCTTGCGCCTGCGCCGCGCAGCAAGAGCTGCCAACGGCTGCAGCAACAGGTGCAACCACTGAGAAAATATTCGCGAACCAAACCGAGGAGCCGGTGGTCAGTGTGCCGGGCATGTGGCGACAGGCGCGGCGGCGCAACACGCTGGCGGATAGCTGCACCACCAACGGCGGTGCGACGGGCACCTGCCTCACGCGCTTCAAGTGCATGCGTCAAGGTGGCACAGTCAATGGCTATTGCGGCACCTACGGCGTCTGCTGTGAGAGTAAGTGCAAAAGCTGCCTCGCGCTCACTACGTGAATAACTCCATTTCTCCCTCTCTCTCGCTCGCTCGCTCTTTCTCTCTCTGCTTGCCACAGCAAACATGGCGTGTGGCACAACGACACGGCTGAAACGCACCATCATACGCAATCCGGCCACATTCACGACCAACATCTGCCAGTACACGATCGAGGCCTACAGCGCCAACGTGCAGCAGCTGCGCATCGACTTCGAGCAGTTCGAGCTGCAACAGCCGACATTTAGCGCCGCGGATGACCGTCTGCTGGAGTGCCAGGATTACTTTGAGGCCGGCAGCTTTAAGCTGTGCGGCATGAATGCGGGCCAGCATCTGTATCTGCCATTCAATGTGGCCGCCGGCATCGATCAGATCACGCTGACCTTTTCGGTGCCGTCGCGCTGGCAGCAGAGCAACTGGCGTCTGATTGTCACCCAGCTGGAGGGGCCGCAGGCGGGCAGTAAACGCAAGACCAGCATGCTGGGCGGCCTCGGTGGCAGCGGTAACAGTTTGCAGGATCTGCGCAGCATCTTCGCCTCCCATCACGCCGACTACGAGCTGCTGGCGCCCGCCGGCTGTCAACAGTATTACACGGAGCTGACGGGCACCATACGCAGTTTCAACTATCAGCCGACTATGGGCAGCGTCTACATGCCGGAGACCAGTTACACCATTTGCATCAAGTCCACGCCCAGTGCCAGCATGATTGAGTGAGTGTGCCTCTCTGTCTGCCTGCCTGCTTGCCTCATCTGTGGCATTCCAGTTGCTTCCATTCAACGACCTCTTCAACACTTTCAGATATAGCTTCAGCCGGCTGGCCATGTCGCTGCAGACGGGCGAGGGCGAGGGCTATGATGAGGCGTGCCATGCCACGGTGCATACGCCCGGCAGACAGGAGGATTATCTACTGATACCGCAGTCGTTGCTGGCCAGGAATACGGCTTATCAGCCGACCTACTACTGCGGCATCAACGAGAATTTCATAGTCTACGGTAAGTGTGTGGCATGCTTGGGGCATGCCTGGGACATGCATTGCTGACCTGCTGTTAATATCGGTTTAAATATTTACACAACCCATATGGCACTTGGCAACGCAGCATCGCCGCCCTACATGATCCACTTCTCCAGCGACGAGATGACCCTCGACGCCACCCAGGAGACGGGCTTCAGTCTGACTTATCGCCTACGTACATCAATTCTGTAAAGTGGCTGCCCGGTTAAGTGGGCCCTTAGATTAGGCAGCATTTTAGCCATGTGCATAGAATTTAATAAACTAAAGTGAAAACGATTCTCGAACTCAACTCGAACTCAACTCGATTTACTTGCCCCACACATACATACACACACACACACACACATGCACACTGGCTGCATTTGCAGTAAATTGCATTTCAGTTTGCCAACAATATGGGCAATATTTACCGCAAAATGTTATGGCAGAGCTCTAGAGTTAAATAATGCGAGAAAACAACAACAAAGGCCATTTTATGGATATTTCTGGCGAAACTATTATGGGCATTCATGGGCTTTGGTAAACTGTGAATCTGTGAACTTTGAAACAAACAATTATTCTTTGGACTTAAATATGGATAATCATAATATTTGGTTGAGCATTAAATATCTCCATGGCCATTGACATTTTGGTTGTTATCCACTGCATGGATTACAATTCGGCTTTGTCCCTTTGTGCATTGCCAAAGCAGAAATTTGTCAATTGATTAAGCAGAATTGGAATGCATTTCTACTCCATATACATAATTTTGTAGTGAGTGGAACATTTCGGCAATGTTTGTATGAACTTTCGAGCAAAATTATATGAATTTTGTATAAATACTTAAATATATTATTTATATATGTAAGTGAAGAGAAGTTTGAGAGCCAGTTTTGGTAGACCGCTAATTAATGTTTCATTGTCATTACGCATATTTTATATTTTACTTTTTCTATACTTTCAAATTTGCAAAAAAAATTGGGGGCATTCTTTTA